TACCCTCAAGAATTTATAGGAAAACATAAATAGTTTATAAGGGGCAGATTTTAACTCGGATTTTATGAAAATCAGATCAGGAATCAGGATGACAACCAAAAGTGGATTCGCCTGCCCTCATCAGAACTGAGCTAAAAATGGTGACCGTTACTAAGGAAGTGGAATATCAGGGTGATAACAAAGGAGAATAAAACACTTTTCACCAGTCTACCCACACGACACGAGAAGACTAACAAACTTGATTGCTCAGGAGTTTATCTCATTAAATGCGGCAACTGTGAGCAAAAGTATATCGATAAAACAAAAATAAAAATCGTTTTACGAAGCAAGGAACATCAAAGATTCTGGAAGAACATAAATACGGAAAGATCCGGTATAACGATACACATTGCACGAACGGGGCACGAAATCGACCGAAAGGTTGGCTGAATATGGTGAAAATACGAGAAAACGCAAGATCCGAGAGGCAATCGATATAATGACCTAAATAAATATAATGAACAGACTTGAAGAATGCAGGATCAGCGAAAACTTTGCATATTGCGTAAACAAACTCGGAGAAGACCAGGCAACAGTAAGATTAGCAAAAAGAAGACGACTGGATCAAGATAATATCCTTAATTTTAGGAAAAGAGATCGCATTGGCAAGAGAAATGAACAATCAAAAGCAAAGACGTCTTCAGTGAGCCTAATCAAAACAAATATAACCACAACATTTGCAAGTTGGCACACAAGAGAATAGGGCATAGCAAGTGATAGACTTAGTATTATAGATAGAAATAGGATAGACGCGGTGGAGACCAGAGCTGTTCGGCTAACAATAGACGTGTTTGATCATAAACGTGATTCTTGAGTCACGATTATTGTTAGCCAACTAGCTCTAGCTTTCGCTACTTCCATCCTCTTTCTATCTATAATATCAGTTCTATGACTTCCTACCCCCTAGTCTCTTGTCTGCCAACTCACAAACGTTGTGGTTCAACATTGAACCTAATCAAAGCAAGCAGTACCACAACATTTATGGGTTAGCACA